TGGCGAAGGTCGTGCGCGGTCCCGAATGTCAACCTCCAGAGCCTTACGAGCCAGCCTCGGCGGACCAGGCCATTGTGAAGCGTGAGCCAGTGTCCAACGAGTCATGGAAGCATTTGGCAGCTGCCATCCCCACCACGTCCGAAGCCTTGGAGAAGCCTGGAGCAGCGAGCCCTTTGGCCAAAAAGGCTTCTGTGGTAGATGACATTTGCACGCGCAGCAGTGAGGGTGCCGAAACACCGAAGAAGCAGGTTTTTCAAGAAAGGAGGCCGAATCCAGATCCAACAAGAATAGTCCGTTGGCTTCACCCACAACCGACTCGTCAGTCGATCCTTATGAGTTCACCACGTCCACTCCAAGCGGTGAGGCGAGCACTGCGCAAGACGACTCGGACAAGCCCGGAACCAGGCGGCTGTCCAGATCTAACAGGCGACTCTCATCAGTTGTGCGGGAGGACTTTGCATACGAACCAACTGAGACGGCCTTGAAGGACAAGACAAATACGGCAACAAGGAAGAGAGCCTCGATGGCTCATTCTCGACCGGAGATGAACAAAATGAGCGATGACAGCCCTGACACGTCAGGTAGCGTCGACTCGCAAGACGCACCATCTCGGGCGTCGATGAGGAGGAGAAGCATGATGTTATGATTTGTTTGCGTGACGTCCACGCCTGATGACACATCCTGAGGAGCAATTGGTTTTTTTTAGAGTGTTGGCGTCAGTTACATGGCAGCCTAGGCTTCATGTTTGTTCATTTGTGTTTTGGACACCAGGACGTTAAGGTGTTCACTTGTTTAGGATACCACAGGTCTGCGCCTTTCGAGCCACGCGGGTAGCTTTTTTTGGCCTTTTATTCATTCTTTCTTTCTTTGTGACCATACGGAGTTTTGGTCTTTGGTCGATCCCGGAAAACAGGGGATGATGATACCAGGTGTCTTTACGAACACTCTCAGCTTGTAATTCTTTAGACTTGTTGTTGTTCAAAACGCTTCATCGCAACAAAGTCACATAACTGTCCGGGCTAATGAGCCTGACTGACCCTGGGCCAAAGTGACTTGTTCCCACACCCTACCGCTGCCTGCTACTGCCGTCATGACGCCTTATCATGAGCCACCTGTTGGCTCGACCGGCTTCGTGTAGGTGACCTTCTCCACGGCAACGCTCTCATTGCCGTTGTCGTCTTTTCGCAGTTGGTAGACGTACAGGGTCAGCGAGATCCCTTGCACCTGTGGTATGTCAGTCACGTCTAGCCCCTCACGGCGCGACACGAGCTCCCCGCGTTGCTTCTTTAGCAAAGGGTAGCAAGGGGGAGAGAGAGAGAGATAGGCAGCGCACGTACATCCATGAGACAGAAGCTGGGCACGGGTTCCTCGCCCTCCTTTCCCCAGCCCGTGGCGAACGCGCCGGTGGCGCTGCCGGGGTTGACGAAGAACTTGTCCATGTACTCAAAGGCGTCGAAGCGGTGGGTGCCTCCCCAGCAGAGGACATCGACATCGAGCTTATTGGCCTCGGCGAGGAGCAGGTCGGGCTCGGACGAGACGAGCGTGAAGCCCTCGAGGAAGCCGATGCGCAGGGAGCCGTGGGTGACGACCTGGGTCAGGGGCAGGCCGGCGGCCTCGACGTCGGTGCGGCCTTTTACAATCTTGAGGTCTGGCGCGATGCTGCGGAGGTATTCGTAGGTGTGGCGGTCTGTGAGGTTGCCGAGGCAGAGGGTCTGGCCGATCTTGCCGGGGGCGAGGAGCTTCTTGAACTGCACGACGGGAGCAGGCGGATCACGGGTCAGTCTGCTGTGGATTGGAAGGAGGGTGTGTGGTTCGGGGCCAACGGACCTTGGCGGGAATGTCGAGGGCTCGATCTGGGATGTGAAGATCGCCAATGACTAGTATTAGGAAGGCCATGATGTCGGCTGTATGGTTGAGGATGCGTGCTCCGTCTGTTGGCGGTATGATGGGAGGCTGTTGAGGTCGTTGAATAGGCTACAGGCGCAAGCAGGCAGCCAGCTACTTCGGAAAGTGGAGCAGCTCCGGCGGGCAGCTCAACGGCAGCTCAGCTTGTCTGGGTGCTCCCGAAATCTGTATTGTATAATTGAAGTATCGCGAATTGGTCAACTAGAATCGAGAGCAAAGATTGTCGCTGGGAATGGCGCCAGTTGTGGAAAGCAACAGGCCTGTGGATGCGGTGACGATGTGCCTCCATGGCAGCTCCCGCTCTCTGGAAGTGGGGGGCTGGGACAATCAGCATCAGCCACGGTTGTGATACGGGCATGTGGCTGGTGCGACATGCATCATCGCCTTCTGAGCTCTAACAGCAGCCAGGCCAGAGCTTCTTCGTCCAGTGTTCCCAGTGCGTGCTTCGAGTCGGACCCCGCCGGGTCCCAGCTCCCAGCTCCGTAAGCGGCGATTTTCTCCCGAATGACTCGGCTCTAATGCCGAGATTCCCCCAGCTGTCCTAGGAGCGATTTCGTGGCCTTTTTCACATGAGCAACCGACAATCGAGATTCCAGTCATCGAAGGGCAAAGTCAATCTCGTCTCATGCATTGACTGGCTGGTACCAAGGCACCCTGGACCACCCATTTCTCCTGCACTTCGCACCTGGACAAATCACCCCCCAGGATACTGTTCCCGAAAGCTACCTTCGCTCCCCTCCCTATCCAACGCCAACCCTTTGCCTAGGTACATCGTAGCTCGTGGTTCGCCCGAACCGACACGCACCCACTGCCGGCCACGATCGGCATACATCACTGTTGCATTCATGCATAGCATTTTTAAGCGGCTCCCCCTCCGCACAGTGGCTTCCGAGGGAATGCCCCTCCACAACCTTAAGAACCCCTCATCCGCCCGGATATCTCTCGTCTCGGGCCACCTGCATCCTCCAAGTGTAGCTTCACCATCGTCTACCGTAAGCTCGTCACCTTTGCCATTGGCGCTTTCTCCGCTTTCATCGTCCCATTCCGGCCACCTGACCTAGACACAGTCGCGATCGCAGTCCACCATGTCGAGACAACCCGAGCACCCCGCCCTCATGATCCCGGGGCCCATCGAATTCGATGATGCCGTCCTTCAGTCCATGAGCCACTACAGCGAAAGCCATGTCGGCCCCGGTTTTGTCGCCACCTTTGGCGAAACCCTCACCATGCTGAGGAAGCTCTTCCAGACCACCGACCCCGCCTCGCAGCCCTACGTCATCTCCGGCTCTGGCACCCTGGGTTGGGATATCGTCGCCGCGAACCTGGTCGAGCCCGGCGAAGACGTCCTCGTGCTGACCACCGGCTACTTCAGCGACGGCTTTGCGGACTGCTTCAAGGCCTATGGCGGTAATGTCACCCAGCTTCGGGCCCCCGTCGGCGAGCGTCCCCAGCTGCCCGAGATCGAGAAGGCCTTGAAGGAGAAGAAGTACAAGATGATCACCGTCACGCACGTCGACACATCCACTGGTGTTCTCAGCGAGCTCAAGGACTTGTCGGCTCTGGTCCGCAGGGTCTCGCCCGAAACTCTGCTCGTTGTCGATGGCGTCTGCAGCGTCGCCTGCGAGGAGATCCAGTTCGACGAGTGGAAGCTCGATGGTGTCGTGACGGCCAGCCAGAAGGCCATTGGCTGCCCCGCCGGCCTGTCCATCTCCATGTTCAGCGGCAAGGCCATCGAGGCGTTCCAGAACCGCAAGACGCCCGTGGCCGCGTACTTTGCCTCCATGAAGAACTGGACTCACAGTACGCCGTTCCCTGCCCTGGCCTGTTGAAGGCAATGCCGATTTTGAGCCACTGCTAACCAGCGTAGTCATGCAAAACTACGAGGCCAAGAAGCCCTCGTACTTTGCGACGCCGTCTCCCCAGCTCGTCCACGCGCTGCACACGGCGCTGACGCAGATCCTCGCCAAGCCCCTCTCGGAGCGCTTCGCCCGCCACCGCGAGGTGTCAGACAGGGTGAAGAAAACGATCACGGATCTCGGCCTGAAGCAGGTAGCTGCGAATCCCGAGGATCAGGCCCACGGCATGACGGCCATCTACCTTCCCGAAGGCATCAAGCCTACCGACATTCTGCCTATCTTGGCGAAGAAGGGCGTCGTCTGGGCCGGAGGCATCCACAAGGAGATCGCGCCCAAGTATGTTCGATTCGGACACATGGGTGTCAGCGTGGTCAGTCTAATTGTTTGTTTCCAAATTTCGTCATGCACTTGACTAACAGCATCTAGATGGACCCCTCTCGCCCAGAGGTCGACAAGGCGCTTGAGGCGCTGAAGGATGGCCTCGTGGAAAATGGATACAAGGCATAGAAACACGAGATGTGTGGTGTGCCACAGGAGTTGTACGAATCGGATCTTTGTGAGGATTCTGTATTTTGAATGCTAGACCGTATTCTTCTAGAAAGAGAAAGAAGCGCGATGCAGAGAAAGAAGAAATGACGCAGCCGTGACAATCAAAGCGCCAGCTGTTTTGGAACAATCTCAGCGGTCACCAACAACACCCCCCCTCCCCTCAACGAATGACATTGCTTCGGAATGCGATAAGCTCGCGCATCTGTCTGTAGCCTGGATCATGAACCGGCAGGTTGTAGAGAGAAGAAGAGAAAAGGCGGACCATGAAGTGGCCAACGGGGCTCGGGATCACATGAGGCTTTGCAGAGGAATTCAAATGAGGTCGCCACAAGATACGTGACCGTGTTGCGACGCGATGGCTGTTCAAAGCTGTACCTGCGATAGGTACCGTAGTTGGCCGCGCCAGTGGAGTGAGGGGGAGAAGGTTGGATTGTCACAGGTATCGGTACCTTACAGCTCTCCTGCGCGTAGCAAATTGCAGTGGCGTTTTGGCAGTGTGCCTGACTATGACGGCATGAGCCACTGCCAGGCAGCGGGACTACAGCCCCGACCCAGAGCTTCCTTTTGGTACCGGTACTTGTACGGTGGAGTCCTCGAGCCGGCTGACAAAATTGGTTGTTCCCCCCCCCGCCATCCCGCCTCCATCGATTAACCAAACCACCTCACGACCTTTCCAGTCCCTGCCATCACTCCCCTCTCCTCCCATTGCTTCCTCTCCGCCAGCAAGGCTCTCCCTTTTGCGCATCAGACTTGAAGGCTTCTCAAGCTGCACAAGTCCCGCTCCGCTTGCGACTCTTGCTCATCACAACCGTCTGGCATCTGTCGCCTTGTCTATCCCTCCCCGCCTTTCCGACCTTCTCCCATCCACCGACCGCATTTCCCAGCCGTCGGGTTTCCAGATCGCGATCCCAGGTTTCGACCCCACAGCGACCACCCCGATGGCTATCACCATACCGGAGCTGGACAACCTTGTCCGCTCCTTCTACGAAGGACGTGGCGAGCAGGTGCGACGACAGCCGTAACCCGTGCACCCCCCATTGCGGCACCTCGCTAACGTGGTTTGCGATGACAGCAAAAGCAAGCTCAAGCCGCTCTCAACCAGGTATGATGGTGTTGTTTCGCATCAGAAAGTCACCGGCCCAAACTAATGTGCTCTCCTACTAGTTCAAAGAAGACCAGGACTCATGGCTCCTCGTCGACAACATCCTCTCCGAGGCCTCCTATCCTCAGACCAAGTGTGCGTAAACACCGGCAGCGGCCTGGCTGCTCGTGGTGTGCCGTCGCTAACAGTCACCGACAGACTTGGGCCTGCAGGTTCTGGACAGTGTGATCATGACGAGGTGGAAGGTTCTTCCCCGGGAGCAATGTCAAGGTATGCCCTCCAAACAGCTAGCTGGCTTGCCCGACCTATCACTCCGCGGGCCTTCTACTTACACGACCAGGCATCCGCAACTTCATCGTGCAATTCATTCTCCAGGTCTCGGGCTCCGAAGAGACCATGAAAGCCCAGAAAACCCTCCTCAACAAACTCAACCTCGTCCTCATCTCCATCCTCAAGCAAGACTGGCCTCACAACTGGCCGACCTTCATTAACGAAATCATATCGGCATGCCACTCGAGTCTATCCGTCTGCGAGAACAATATGGTCATCTTGCGACTGCTGTCCGAGGAGGTGTTTGACTACTCTGCCGAGCAAATGACATCGACCAAGACGCGCAACCTCAAGACCACCATGTGCGCCGAGTTCTCCCAAATTTTTACCCTCTGCCAGGAGGTTCTCAACTCGGCCACCCAGACTAGCCTCGTCAAGGCGACACTTGAGACGTTGCTGCGCTTCTGCAACTGGATCCCTCTGGGCTACATCTTCGAGACGAACCTTATCGACACCCTGCGCACGCGCTTCCTTCCCGAGCCCGAGTTCAGAAATGTCACCCTGCAGTGCCTTACTGAGATTGGCGGCCTGCAGACGGGTGGCCCCGGGCAGCCAAACTCGTACGACGAGCAGCTGGTCAAGATGTTCACCGAGGTTCTTAGTACCATCTCCAACATCGTTCCCATCACCATCGACCTCAAGACAACGTACCCTACCTCAAACTCCAGGGATCAAGAGTTTGTCCAGAACATGGCTTTGTTCCTCTCCAACTTCTTCGGCATGCACCTGAGCGTAAGTTTCAGTTCAGGATATCTAAACTTCTGCAATGCTAACGCACCCTAGCTTATCGAGAACTTACCGAACCGGGATTACCTTGCTCATGGACACTTCTATCTGATCCGTATATCGCAAATCGAGGACCGCGAGATCTTCAAGATCTGCCTCGACTACTGGCTGAAACTTGTCAACGAGCTCTACGATGAGATGCAGCAGCTCCCCATGACCGAGCTCAACCCGCTGATGGGTATGGGCGGTGGCTTGTCCAACGCGGGCGCGCCCAACCCGGCGCTGTTGGCAAACTACCCGTTGCGTAAGCACAAGTACGGCGAGGTTCTGTCAAACCTCCGCCAGGTCATGATTGAAAAGATGGTCCGCCCCGAGGAGGTTCTCGTCGTCGAGAACGACGAGGGAGAGATTGTTCGTGAATTCGTCAAGGAGAGTGACACGGTCCAGCTCTACAAGACTATTCGCGAGTGTCTCGTGTACCTCACACATCTAGACGTTACTGACACGGAGAATATCATGACCGAGAAGCTAGCACGCCAAGTTGACGGCACCGAATGGTCGTGGCACAACTGCAACGTTCTTTGCTGGGCCATTGGTTCGATTTCCCTGGCCATGAACGAAGAGACGGAGAAGAGGTTCCTCGTGACTGTCATCAAGGATCTTCTCGGCCTGACTGAAATGAAGCGCGGCAAAGACAACAAAGCCGTCGTCGCCAGTAACATCATGTACATTGTCGGCCAGTACCCTCGCTTCCTGAAGGCGCATTGGAAATTCCTTAAGACGGTCGTCAATAAGCTTTTCGAGTTCATGCACGAGTCGCATGAGGGTAAGTCCCAGGGGTTGGAAGGGACCGGGAACTGATCGGGCATGCCCGCTAACGAGTCAACAGGTGTTCAGGACATGGCTTGCGACACCTTCATCAAAATTGCTAGGCAATGTCGCCGTCACTTCGTCGCTCTGCAGCCTAGTGAGAATGAGCCGTTTATCGAGGAGATTGTTAGAAACATGCACAAGATCACTTGCGATCTGACACCCCAGCAAATCCACACCTTTTACGAGGCATGCGGTTACATGGTAGCCGCCCAGGGCAACAAGCACCAGCAGGAGAGGCTAGAA